ATGAAAGAAACAGGCAACATCTGGCAAATAGTGCATCAGTAATTTAGTGGTATGCCGAATCAGGACATGGTAAGTTTGAGGTTTATTTATTTAAAGGATGTACTTATCCTTATAAATCCATAAAGAATTAAATTTTTACATAAAGATGAACATATATGTAAACTAAAATGTGCATATACACACACACACACACATCTTTACATAATGTAAAAGTAACAGACACATATGACAGAATGCTGAACATTAACTCCTGTTAGGTGAAGAATGCCCATTTTGTGAATGAGGCAATTCTCTAAGATGATATAAGTGATGTGGTCACCAGAGAAAGTATTTTAAAGAAGTGACCCAAAACTGTAGTACACAAAGTTTACTTTAGACACAGGTTATTGCTACAATTTACCGCTGACATCTTAGAACAAACCGGATTGCCTACCTGCATCAGGTAGGTCACAACTGAGTATATGTTATTATCTTGTCTTGCCTCCTCAATTATCCAACCACTTGGTAACACCTGCAATCCACAAATGTACAAATCAAAATATTACTCGACAAATATAGGTACCTAATGGAAATGACACCATACATATGCATGTTACATGACTCATCCATTGTGGGTTCTGAAGCCCCATTCTGGGAGGAAGAATAGATTCACTGACCCCTTGACAAAAAAAAAAAAGTTAGTTGTGCATCCTTTATGTTCCAGAACCAATCCCAGCATTTGTTTGGTTGTTGAGGTTTTTTAAGACAAATTTAACGTTCTGTAGTTTGCCATTGTGTTCTCTCTCTCTCTCTTCTCCCTCCCTCTCCTCTCTCTCTCTCTCTCTAGTGACATTCATTTTGAATGGACAATACACAGACAACAAAACCATGGCTCTTACCTTTGCTCTGGTGACATTCGCATTGACTAGACACTTGTCATGCTCAATGCTGGAGTAAGTGATGAAATATGTGTGTCCTTCCTGTCTCTCCCCTTGTAATACGCACATGTCACAGCTCTCCTTCCTGAGAAACTGTTGATTCTCATGGTAAAAGTATACTGCGGGGAGATGACACATTTTCAGATAAGCACAAAACATTCATTTGCATTTATAGAATTGAGCTGTTCATTCTGGTTTTACCTTTAAGCTAAGTCTCAACATGCAGTTTACACAATAAATAAATTTTATTAATGCTTTCAAGATGGCAATTTTTTTATGGGTTCTGGACGGAATTAATTTTCAGCTGAATCTTCTTACTGCAGATTGACAAAGCTAAAACTACATTCCTGAAGCAAACGTGATGGCAAAACAACATATAATATATCAAATTAAAGATAAATTAATACAGAATATCCCTAAAATATTTAAGAATCAGTATTTCAACTACAAAATATTAAAATGACCCCAATTCAAGGATCTGAGTCATATATTAAGATTTTTTTTTTACAAATGAAGTTTTGTACTTATCTTACTTTTTTACTTGATCAGCAACACTGCTATCCATTTCTCAAAATATGTCTGCCTTCTCTACTCAATTATGCACTAGTTAGTTTTTTTACTTGAGATAGTTAATCTAAATACTTTGGGTTTTGTACTTTTTGTGTAACTTGTCAAATTTCAGAACAACCAAACGCAGCTGATCGAAACGGGTATGATCCAACTTCAACCCAATCCATCATGTGAGGATTAATCTCATCACATGAATTATCTTTTTCTTCATCTAAAAACTGCTGAATAAGATTTAAAGCCTGAGTTTAGGTCATTCTTTGAGTTCTCTTTACAGTGAATGTTGAAGGTTTGAAAGCTGTCATTCAGGAAGATCACACACAAAAATTTAACGCACTGATTTAATTTAAAACATATCAGAAAAAACAAAATGTTTTTAAATAATTTGTTTCACCAATCCTAGTTTGTCAAAAAAGATGTTCTTACAAATCCATTTTCCTAGCAAAAAAAAACAATATTAGTGTCTTGTGTCTATGCAGAGCCACTTAAGTGGTGATATGCCCAAATATGATGGATTCAGCCACCACTTAATGGGCAATAGTCCGCAAAGAGTTAATAGGTATGGTCCACTAAAGAAACAGTTTGGAACTATTTGACTGAAATGCTACAAAAAAATTCTTAGAATACTGTGGACTATCTCACATGATCACAAGAGTCTCAAATCAAGTTTGTGTTCTTATTCTGGTAATGCCATATGGTCAAGCCATCTCTGTCGTCATCCCTCTGTCTTTTTTTGCCCTCTTCCCTTTACATCTGCCAGATGTCACTGAGTTTTAAAGTTTATTTCTCCCCCCCAAAAAAAGTCTGAAAAAATATGAACCATCTGAATGTAATTTCTCTAATCAATATATGGTTTCCATCTTGTTCTTTTTCTTTATTGTGTTCTTTATTTTGTTCCCCCTGCTAGTGGTTTTCAGATGAGAAAGATAAGAAGGCCACAGGACTCTATAAAGTCTGTGTTGGGATGTATGTCTTTAACTGTTTCATACGGCTTGGTTTCCAGTAAAATGCCAACTGGCCAAACCTGGGATCTCCCTACTGCATGTAGAGAGCACGTCTGTAGTACAAGTTCAGTATTCTGTGGTGCCTGTCCACAATGGTAAAGTTCTGAAACTCCAACCTGTAACTGCTTGTACACACGGTTGCAGAATCTCTTGTGCCCAGTATGCAAACCAAACATATCAGTCTGTTTTGGTTTCCATCTGATTCTAAAATACCTCTTTGTTATGTCTATGTGTGTACGTACACATGTGTGTGCACTTCCTGTGTGTGTGTGTGTGTGTGTGTGTGTGTGTGTGTGTGTGTGTGTGTGTGGTGTGTGTGTGTGTGTGTGTGTGTGTGTGTGTGTGTGTGTGTGTGTGTGTGTGTGTGTGTGTGTGTGTGTGTGTGTGTGTGTGTGTGTGTGTGTGTGTGTGTGTGTGTGTGTGTGTGTGTGTGTGTGTGTGTGTGTGTGTGTGTGTGTGTGTGTGTGTGTGTGTGTGTGTGTGTGTGTGTGTGGTGTGTGTGTGTGTGTGTGTTGTGTGTGTGGTGTGTGTGTGTGTGTGTGTGTGTGTGTGTGTGTGTGTGTGTGTGTGTGTGTGTGTGTGTGTGTGTGTGTGTGTGTGTGTGTGTGTGTGTGTGTGTGTGTGTGTGTGTGTGTGGTGTGTGTGTGTGTGTGTGTGTGTGTGTGTGTGTGTGTGTGTGTGTGTGGTGTGTGTGTGTGTGTGTGTGTGTGTGTGTGTGGTGTGTGTGTGTGTGTGTGTGTGTGTGTGTGTGTGTGTGTGTGTGTGTGTGTGTGTGTGTGTGTGTGTGTGTGTGTGTGTGTGTGTGTGTGTGTGTGTGTGTGTGTGTGTGTGTGTGTGTGTGTGTGTGTGTGTGTGTGTGTGTGTGTGTGTGTGTGTGTGTGTGTGTGTGTGTGTGTGTGTGTGTGTGTGTGTGTGTGTGTGTGTGTGGAGAATAAACAAAAATGATTAACTTATCCCCCCCCCAGGTCAATCAACAAAACAGGAAGTAGAACTGGTCAGCGTTGCAACATATCCATAAGAGATCAAACTAATATTATGGGAGAAAAACCTTCATGAGCCAACAAAAACAATTAGGCACTGACAGAGGTATAAATTTAAATTTATAAAAAGAAAATTGTATTTTTTTTGTGTGTGTGTGTGCAAAAAACCAGTTTCATTTCTCTGCACACATGTTACACTGACTCCTTAGAATGTAGAAGTATCAGTGTTTTGGGTGCTTTCCATTTTGTTTAATGACCCATTAATACAGTTTGTTTCATGACAAGAGAAACTGAGTGACAACTTACCTATCTTAAGAGAGTCATCAATTGTTGCTATAACGTCTACTTTCTGGGGAAAATGACAATGAAAACAGAAAAAACTCACAAACATTTCAGATAATTTATATAAGATAAGATAACAGACAGAACTGGTAAATTCGTCAGCTCACCTGCAACCAACCACATACTATTTTCTTAACTATGTTCTGTTGACTTAATGCATCAAAGCCACTCTTAAAAATGTGTGAAAGTCTAGAAATGCAATTTAGAGTTTCAAAGCTGGCATAAAAATGTAGACAATGAGAAGGAAAACATTTTGAAATTTGTATACTGTAGCCACAAATTTTAAAGAGAAAACAATTAATTCTTTACTAGTTTGTTATCATCTCTCTCTCTCTCTCTCTGTGTCTGAGGGTCTCTCTCTCTCGCCTGCGTGTGTGTGTGTGTGTATATATAATCATAGGATGTGCCAATCAGCGTGAGCTGTTATGTTTCACTATCTTACAGCAGTCTCACAGACTTGTTAGTGTTCTTGTCTCCCCTTATCCATATGACAAAGCCATCCAGGCATTTATCTCTGCGCCTTCCCTTTGCTTTTTTTCTTTCCATCAGTCTTGTCAGTCATCACAAATTTCTCATACGTCCAAAAAACCTGTGTATGTGTGAGTGTCCCTCTCTTTCGCAGTTGTCACAAAATAAAATTTGTTCGTTCGTTCATCTTGGGTTCATGTTCTGACGGAACCTGACTTCTTTCAAAAATGGCCTTGGCGTCCAGGTCGACTCAGCCTTAAATGGGTATCAGGTAAAGTCCTGGGAAGTAAAGGCTACCAGCATGATGTCAACTACATCACCTACCAAGTGCCAACTGATCCATAAAATTTAGGACTAGCCCTATATGCCCCTGAAGGCGTCCTTTACTTTACTTGCTTTATTCTCTCTCGTTTCCGTGTCACTGTCCAATGCATTATTTATAAGACTAAATTAACTCGCAACAACACTGACGGAAAATCCATGAAAAATACAGGCATTTTGTTATGGTCCCAGACACTTAAGAATAATCATCAGAGATTCAGATAGGTCGACCCAGTCTTAAATGAGTATGTCAGTGTGTTCTTGCCTCACTCCATCCATATGACCAAGCCAGCAAGACATTTATCTGTGCCTTCCCGTTGCTTTTTTTTCCTCCAATCAATCTTGTCAGTCAGAAAATGAAAACAGAAACGAGTGTCACAAACATTTAAAATTCTACTCACCTTGAGCGTGTCATCATATGTGAATGCAGTGTGAGGATTCTTCAGAGCATCCCAAACTGTTTTTGGGGGGCTCAGGATAAATCCTTTACCAAGGTAACTGGAGAAACAAGAAAGATATTATTCATGGCTTATGAACTGTGGATTACTACATCTACAACAGTATAAAACCTCATGTTGTATATACACTTACTTTTTTCATATCTACAACAGTATAAGATTTCACTGATTACCTATAACAAACAATATGACATTTAAAAAAAAATCTACAACAAATATGACTTCATATTTAATCATCATTATCATGTAGCAGATCTTCTGGTCTCATCACAGTCTGCTTGAAAGAAACTCAGTATATCACCAGTTCTCCAGCCTCATGCACTTTCATACCCAAAGAGTCATTTATATCCTGTGCCCATCTTTGTGTTCGTCGGCCTCTGCCCCTCCTTCCTGGCACCATGCCTTCTGCTATTATTTTCTTCAATCCATCGTGGCACTTGCTATGGCCAAAATATACCATATTTAATCTAAAACAATACAAGACTGTTTTTAAAAATCAAATTTTTTTTTAAACTTAATTTTTTTCTGAATATATTTACAACTTGTGTATCTGCTGCTGGCATGGTGGTTTTGGATTCATGCTGCCTTTGATAACTGTTTTTGTGTAACACAGTGGATGATCCATAAAACCAGCTACCAACACAACTGCCTGTGAGAAGACAGCATTCTACTGATCTTCCTCCCCCCCCCCCCCCCCCCCCCCCCCACCCCGCAAGCTGCTTTGTTTTGCTTTTTTTTTTTTTTTATCCTGGCATCAAAACAAAAACCCAAGATAGAAGTTTAGTTTAAACCTTCCAATTTTACAGAAGATTTCCAACTATTCTAGATGAGGTGGTGGAGGAGAGCAAAAAAGTGTGATCTCTGAATAAACAAATTCCTATATGCTTTATTTAAACTAAAGCAGTTGCATTTCCCTTACAGAAGGCATGTCAGAAGAAAGTCCCCTGAGGGCCGTGTGGGTCATATTTGTGTATTTGTGAAGACCACAAATGACAACTAATTGAGGTCATTTAGTCAAACATTAGTACAGAAAATTTCCTTTGTGTGGGCCGCAGGTGTGCTTGCAATAGGCCATATACCTCCTGCTGGCCAAGGTTGTCATGCCTGCCAAACAAAAAGTAAAACCAACCCTTACATATGTTGGTTATTTGTGGTTTCACTGGGTACTTTTACGTTCAGTAGTTTGCCATTCAAAAACTGAAATAAAGAAATGAAATGTCTCTGACAAATCCTAAATGTAAATAGAAGAGACATGATCAAAAATGAAGACATTAGGAAGGGATTTTGGGCGGGACCAGTGCTAAATAAACTACATCAAGAGACAATAGATCCAATTATCTGCACAGGTATCAAGACTACCAACAGATAGTTCCCTATAGAGAGCCTTGTCACTAAAACACAGTGGAAGCAGACTAGAGGCTGACCAAACAAGCAATGGATAGATATATTATCCAAGGACACACCACCCACCCCTAAAGAAGCATGATGTAAAAGGTGACCAATTCAGGGTTTGCTGAATCTTATATGATGGGCTGAAAGGTGCAGATTTTGATTTGATTTGATTTGATTCAAGAACCGACATCACAGCACTCGGGGCATTCCCATAAGCGCTCCATCCCCATCTTCAGCAGCCAGCGAAGAGTTCCGATACTAATGGTGCCAGTAGCCTTCTGATTAAACGTCCGTCTTGCTTTTAGTCTGAGCCTCGAGCATCTGCCAGAACCTCTCGTCACCCCCCCGCTGCATCAATCTCACCAGACTGTGGTGATCCATCTGCTCCTCCGAACTGTACACGCTCTCCCACAAGGCACTAACCACGTCTGCCTTATCATGTATCAGTATTCCACCAAGTTGTGCAGAGTTGGCCAGTCTGTCCGCCTGTTCATTTCCCAACACACCGTCGTGCCACGGTGAAAAAATCCAGACAATACTCCTCACACGTGTCCTCCGCAGCGAAGCATGCCACTCTGCACGAAGCATACCTGTTCTGATCTTCCTCAGCATGCTTTCTGAATCAGTTACAATCACGATGTGAGTGTGTGTGTGTGTGTTGTGTTCTCTAGCCAGCGGAAAGCTGCAGTGACCACCTCCACCTCCATTCTTAAGCTGAATGTTGTGGTATCATATGCTAGGCTCTCATGCACCAAATATCGATCATTAACTTTTGCTAAGAAGCCCCAAGCACTTCTTTTGCCTCTGGACATTGAACCGTCTGTAAAAATGCAAATTTTGCAGCTTAACTGTAAACCACAATGTCATGCCAGCCACCATTTTGAGGATGAATGCTGAAGATGAAGAAGAACATGTAAACCCTCAGGTCAGCTAGCCATGGCACCACCATGTCTCCCTTATCCAAACACACAGCTACTTCATCCCCGTGTGCGTCCTGGGGTTCCATTGTGGGGAAAAACAAGAATAGACCCACTACCTCTCCAACAAGCATGTCATAAGAGTTGACTAATTGGGGACTTCATTCAAAGTCAGAGTTCATCTGCAAGGAACCAACAGTCTGCATACAAATAAGCAAGATCTGTAAAACAGATGTACATGCAAAACTCAGTTCCTGGAAAAAAGTCAAAGTGAAGAAATGGATAAACAACCAGGTCTTTCCACTGAGGTTTACAGTCGTCGAATTCAAACAAACAATACAGCTATTTCATGTAATGTTACCTCTGAACACTGGATCCTAGCCCCTGAACTTTCTTTAACACAACTATATTTTTCTCAAATGCTGAAAATCTGAAAGCATACAAAATGAGTACAACCAAAATAAAGACATAAAATATTACCATGATTTTTTTTTTTGGTGTGGGGGGGGGGGGGGGGGGGGGGGCATAAATAAAAATAAATATAGAGCCTTAGCAGTTTCTGTCAAATGTTGAGGCTTTAAATTTTTGTAGGTTACAATATATAAGGGGACCAGCGTGTTGTAGCAGCTAGACGCTCATCTTGGGTCTGAAAGTTGAAGGTTCAAATCCACATCAAGCCAGAATTTTCAAAAATGACCTTGGCTCCCAGGTTGACCAAGCCTAAAATATGAACCAGGTTAAGTCCTGGGAAGGAAAGGTGGCCGGCATGATACTGACAATACTCACCAAATGCTGACTGCTATATAAATTATAGGTCTAGCCCAATAAGCCTGAAGATCTGGAAAAAATTTCCTTTACTCACTTACTTTTTATAATATACAAGGTGGGCTGGGCAGTTATCTGATACCCACGAATGGGTGGCCATTAGATCTGTACTGGTCTCAGGTTAGGTTAGGTTAGTTGCGTATCCTTTACAGGACGTTGCAGAACCAACCCCAGCAGCCCCGGGCTGTTATGTGGTTTCTCTAGGCAAATTTACGTCCAGTAGTTTGCCATTGCTTTCTAGGCGGTCGACCCCCTGATACCTCAGTCAAAACCAACGCATGGCCCGCAGCTGGGATAGAACCCGGCACTACGAAGCGTTCGCATCGACTTGGCCCCAGAGCCGACACTGGTCTCAGTACAGATTATAAAGATAATAATCAATGCGCAGATAATAAACGCTAAGCAGGGTGCAGGCTGAAAGACAAAGACATGTCTGACATTTATTCCATAAAACTAAAAACTTAACCTGTTCACATGCACATGCCTGTGGCCTAGGCCTTGCGGACACACTCTGTAATGCTGGGGTGCTAAGTTCGATCCCAGCTGCAGACGATTTGGAAGCAGATCGTCTTGCGTTGGTTTCAACAGGGGTATCGAGAGTTGACCGTTTAGTAAGCAATGGCAAACTACTGAATGTACAAATTTGCCAAGGGTTTTGCTGGGGTTTCTTGGTTCTACAATGTCCTGTAAAGGATACGCAACTAACAAACATATATATTCGTCCACCCACCCCCCCCCCCCCCCCCCTAACGCAGATTCACCTACCCATACCTACACACCTACTCATACACTCACCCACAAACACATCTATCCACAGTCACACAAATATGACCATCTATGTATTCACCCTTCCACCTACACATACACTCACACACCTACACAATCACTCATTCACCCTCCCATACATCGACCTACCTACACACACCCATCAACACATACACCAACTCATTAACACACCAACCCACTTTCACACACCAGTCCATAATCATACACAACCACTCATCTACACATCTATCTGCACACATGCACATGTGCACACACAAATACATGTGTATATGCACACACACAAACACACAGATACATACATATCTGTGTATATGTGCGTGCATGTATATATATATATGTACATGCACGCACATATACACAGATATGTATGTATCTGTGTTTGTGTGTGTATATATATATAATGTATGTGCGTGTACATACATACACACACACACACACACACACACACATATATATTTTTGTGTGTGTGTGTGTGTGTGTATGTGTGTGTACACATATTTATGTATGTATGTATGTAGGTAGGTAGCTAGGTAGGTAGGTAGGTAGGTAGGTAGGTGGGTGGGTGGGTGTGTAGGTAGGTAGGTAGGTAGGTAGGTAGGTAGGTAGGTAGGTAGGTAGGTAGGTAGGTAGGTAGGTAGGTAGGTAGGTAGGTAGGTAGGTAGGTAGGTATGTAAGTATGTATGCATGTATGTAGGTATGTATGTATGTATGTATGTATGTATGTATGTATGTATGTGGGAGCTGCCATGATGTAGCGGCTACATGCTCACATGTAAATCTATTTAAATCCACCTAGTGTCTGATTTTTTAAATTTTTCTTTAAGCATGTCCTTGGCTCCAAGGTCAACCCATCCTTAAATGGGCACCAGGTAGAGTTAAGGGAAGTAAAGGTGGCTGCATCACCCAACAAGGGCCAACTGGTCTATCACAAATATGAGTCTAGACTAACATGCTCAATGTGCCACTGGCGTGTAAAGGGACCTTTACTTATGTATGTACATTTGCAAGTATATACATACATATAGGTGTATGTGTGTGTGTATAAATACATTCACCCATACATAAACAAACAACTAACAACAAGAAACAAGATGCAGAGGAAACTGTGCAATCAAACAGTAACTTCATTACTTACTAGTAACATGATACCCAATATTACATATGATTTGTATACTGTAAATGACTTCAGTCGTCATTTAGAGTGCAGAACTCAATGAAAACACATAAATATGTGAACAGAAGCATGCAGCATATCTCCCACGCTTACCTTAATCTCTTATCCTGGGGCCAACCAATGAAATCCAATATTCAACAATGAATTCATTTTAGAAGTATTAGGCACAATTCTGATACTAAATTGTGAACAAACGTAACTTATCCCATTTCATTATTTGTCCTTCAAGCAACATAAAAAAATAAAAGGATATTCACCAATGCATAACTGTGAGAGAGGGGAGGAAGCAGGGAAGGGTATGTAGATGGGACGGGAGATGGAGAGGAGAAGAGATGGCGGGAGAGAGTGGGAGAATTGGAAGGGGAAGAAATAGAGAGAAAGAGGGTGGAAGGGGAAAAAAGAGTGACAGACAATATGAATATATGTGTGTATATGTTTCTGCACTTGTGGATGCATATGAGTATAGATCAATATGGTAGCTGAAGTCAATATTTAGGACACAAACAATCAGTTTAAGAAAGAACCACAACTGTTAGTAAACTTTATAAGTGTATATTTTTTTAATAGCTTGCCACATTTTTCTTGCTTCAAGTGACCACGGGTTTTGAATATTCCTTCTTTATCTACATTTTACACGGGATTTTTAATATTCCTTCATCATCTATATTTTACACGGGTTTATAATATTTCTTCTTCATCTATATTTTATATGGGTTTTTAATATTCCTTCTTCATCTATATTTTACACAGATTTTTAATATTCCTTCTTCATCTATATTTTACGTGGGTTTTTAATTTTCCTTCTTCATCTATATTTTACATGGGTTTTTAATATTCCTTCTCCATCTATATTTTACACGGGTTTTTAATATTCCTTCTTCATCTATCAGTCCTTAAGAAAGAGAATAGGGGCTTTTGAGCTGAAATGCTATTGAAAGATTATCAGAATATCTTGGACAAAGAAGATGAGAAATATTGACATCTTAAAAGATCTGAACATCAAGAAAGATCCTGCTTCGTGCTCTTCTAGCTGCCTCGATCATAGACACATCGTGGTGCTGTAGAGTTTCTCTGATGTTATCTTCCCATCTTGTTCTTGGTATGCCTCTTGCTCTACGTGTCCCTCTCCTCTTTTGGTATATGCTTTGTATGGTAAAGCATCAGAAGGCATTCTCTCCAAGTGAGCAAACCATTTGATTTGCTGTCTTTGTTTGTAGTTTAGAAGTGGTTCTGTGCTGACTTTATCTTGTAAGACCTAATTCCTGATTTTATCTCTTCTGGTCAATCCCACAGTCTTTCTCAGATATCTCATTTCCATGGGTACTAATTTTCTTTTATGTTTTGTTGTAAATGACGAAGTCTGGCACTGGTAGCATAGGGTGGGAATGATTATGCTGTGTATAAGATGTTTCTTTGCGCTGATTGGGATTGCCTTATGCTGTAAGCCACATTATTCACCCACATATTTCTCTGTGTTTTGGGTCTGATTATTTGTTTGGCCCTGTGGATTTAGGTGACAGCATGTTTTTTTTTTCTTAACTGAATTATTGTAATTTGTGCAGGCACCAGTTAATTAATGAGTTAAAATTATTTTGAAGTCGAGGTGCATCTGCTTGCAAGGCGAGGAACCAACAGTCTGCACACAAATAATCCAAATCTGTAAAATGGATGTGCACATGAAACTCAAGTTCTGAAACTTGACTAACATCCAGGACTGGACGAACAACTAGAACTTTTCACCAGAGTTTACAGCCGGTGGAGGTGAAGAAGAAGAAAAGTTCCAATTCTAAGTCTGGTACTTAGTTGACATTTTTTTTTAACTTCAACAATTTAGTAGTGCTACCAAATCTTCTTTGCCTTTTTTATGCACATTTTTACATCTCTGCCGGCTGTGGTGTGTATGGGGTGTGTGTGTGGAAAGTGTGTGTAGGGGGTGTGTGTAGGGGGTGTGTGTGTGGGGTGTGTGTGACGCAACTTACAGATTGCTGTTTGTCCAAGTATCGATATTTCTTCCATTGGCTCCATTTAATTTTAGCATACCTGGAACCTCTATATGTTGACTTTAATTTTCCTGAAATGCAACATGTTATTTTGTGAATAAATGGTTAAACTTACAGCCATCCGTTCGAGCAGTCTGCTTGTTTATCTGATGACAGTTCCAAATTTATATTCAATGCCTGTCTGGTCTGAAACAAAACAAAAAAAACTAAATGATAGCTGGACTCTTTAGGTAACTGTAACTAAAACTTAATGGCACCATATACTTAAGTAACACACACACACAAGATACTTGATTGCTTTCAGAGTATGGCGATGTCTACTTGTGTTCCACCTGGCTTTACATATGCACACACATACGCAGGAGGCAGAGATTGGGACACAGAAATACATGAAGACAGATAGAGACAGGAGAAAAGAGCGAGAGAAAGACACAGACTGACAAACAGATTTTAAAAAAGAGACAGGCAGAGAGAGGAAGTGAGTGTTAGAGAGAGAGGAGAATGAGACTGAGAGGCAGAGTGAGAGACAGAAGAGGGACGCCTGAGAGATAATTATAACTATACATGTTTCACTGTCCTATGGTGCAGGTGCCTTAGGCCTGTTGGCTCATGAATGACAGAGCCATCCCACATCAGGTTGTACTGTCTGCAATGATATTTCCCTCATCCATAATAAATGTAACCTTTATAAATACTCAAAACGACTATATCACACAGGATTTGCAGGTGAATATGTTAAAGTAACAGACTCACAAAGCATATTGAGAAAGATGGAGAAAGGCATACTCCTTGAAGAGTGGCAAGCATCATTTCAGAGGTCCCAGGTGGTTAGCATCTTTTGCATCTTCTTCTTCGCATTCACCAGCTGTAAACTCCAGCGAAAAGTTCTGGTTGTTCTTCCACTTCTGGACTGCAGTCCTGTTTCAGAACCTGAGTGTTGTGTGTACATCCGTTTGACAGATCGGACTCATATGTGTGCAGACTGTTGGTTCCTTGCCTTTCAGGCAGATGTACTCCGACTTTGGAGGAAGCTCCCAATTAGTTGACTCTCACGACATGCTTTTTGGTAGGCAGTGGGTTTATTCTTGTTTTCCCAATAATAGGGCCCCAGAACCCACACAGGGAATCCTTTGCATCTTTCCTCTGGGCTATGCAGGTGTGCTGGCAACAGAATAGGCAAACAGACTGGCTAGTTCTGCACCACCAGGTGGTGAATTTAAGTAGGACAGGCTAGATGTGGTCATGGCCCTTGGGAGAAGGTCATCTAAAAGGATGAATAGATCACTGTGGTCTGGAAAGAATGGTGCTGCTGGGTGCGGCCCATGGGATCTGGGTGACACTCAGAGGAAAGGTAAGATGGGCATATCATTAGACTGCTACTGGAACCATCAGACTTGCAACTCGTGCCTGCTGCTGAAGATAGGGATGTTCCATATGGGAATGCCTGTGAATCGTAAGGTCATGGGGTTCGAATCTAAACACAGCGGACTTTTGTCAAAAATGATAGCTCCCAGGTTGACCCAGTTTTGATCGGTACCAGTAAAGTCCTGGGAAGTAAAGGCGGCTGCCGTGATGTTGATCACATCACCCACAGAGTGTTGATTGATCTATAAAATATAGGTCAAGCCCTATATGTCCAGCACACCTCAAGCAGTGGAAAGGGGTTCTTTACTCTTCTTTACTGATGTCTGGTCATGCACTTAGTCCACTACAGACAAACACTCGGATGCCATATCAAGCTGCCTTAGGTTTCCACAAAGTTTAGCTGTCAGGTTTCTATATATTGCAATGCAGCTTCTCCTTTAAGATCAACATCCTAGGTTCACTTATCATTTTCAGTACCAGATGACACAGCATAGGTTTATTGGTTATTCTAAATATAGCACGCACCTTTAAAATTCCACTGGCCCATTCTTTTTCAACATTAACCTATTGTGTCCCACTTGTAACCTTCTTGTTCTCCACGTTCACCGGCAGAAAGTTCTGGTTGCTCGTCCACTTATGGACTCTAGCCTTGTTCCAGAAACTGAGTGTTGTGTGCATATCCATTTTACAGGTCTAACTAATCTGTATGCAGACTGTTGGTTCTCTGCCTCTCACGCAGATGTACTCAGACTCTGAAGGAAAGCTCCCAATCAGTCGACTCCTACGACATGCCTTTGAGCAGGCAGAGGGTCTATTCTTGTTCTCCCCACAATGGGGTTGTGGAACCCATATGGGGATGTCCCACTTGACATCTGAACATATTTAGTCCCATAAATGCATTACTACAGTCCAGTAAAACTCACAGATGTCTGGTCAACCACTAGTATCAACAGTTATTAGACAGAGAAGATGGCGTTATATAAGATCAATTCTGAGAAGAGACAAACAGAGAATCACCAAACGGGCACTGAAATGGGAAACAGAGAATGAGGAAACGAGTATGTCCAAGAAAATCCTTAGGCCGAATGTTGCTGAGAGAAGCCAAAGATCTGGACTGGATTCCATGCACGATATTAAAGTGATTGCACAAGACAGAATGGAGTAATAGACTGCAAGGTCTGTGTGGCATATAATGGTGGAATAGGACAATGATTGAAAACCCCAAGGCTGAGACTGTATTATAGAGACTTTTGTTACTGAATATGTTGAAGCAGTAACTGATCTGGATTGAAAGAATTAAACCCCCATTTCCGTGAAGCCAAATTACACAAGCTGTACCTTTTTTTTCTACACATTCATGGCTGTAAATTCTGGCGCAAAGTTCTGGCTGTTCGTCCATTTGCAGGACCTTGGCTTTGTTCAAGGACTGAGTGTTGCGTGCACTTCCATTTTACAGATTTGGCTTATCTGTAAGCAGACTGTTTCCTCGCCTCCCAGACATTATGACTTTACATGAAGCGTCGATCTTCACCAGGCTAGCAAGGCACCCGGTTGGGAACTTTGTTCTAGGATGGCTTCAGAGAGGTGGAGATAGGTCAAAACTAGTCTTAGTCTGAGTTGAGGTTTCAACTTCCCTGCAATCGTGTTTTCCCATACTTGCTCCGTTCCTGTGCTGGTGAAAAGCAAATGAAATTTTCCTCGCTGTCCCATTTGAAAAACTGGTGAAGAAACAATTGTCCAAGCACAATCCAGAAATATGCGCACACAATAAATGCATAAAGCAGTTGCTAGAGGTCTTAACTAGTATGAGCCCTAGGCCTGGTGCACTATCATGTCTGTGATAGCACCTCTACATCCCAACAGACTGTACGAAACATGGTCACCATCTGTTTAACAAACTAACCCTATGTATCCATGTGGAGAGGGCAAACAACAGTGGAACAAGTTCTCTAAGGTTGCTGACTTCTATGAGAGGAGCATGATGGGCAATAAATCCCAGCTTGACTCAACTGAGGTAAAAACTGGATACTATTGAAAACTGAAAACTTATGAAGACGGATTTAGACTAGTTTTATCACAGAGAGAACATCAATTATTACGAAAGCAGGTGATGAAAATAAAATGACAACTGAATATAGAGGAACTGTATGATAACAGAAAGAATGGCAGACAGCAGAGAGTCAAAAACTGGTGCACACAAAAGAGTTGAATGGGGGTAGACCTCAAGGCAGGCCAAGAAGACAGAAACAGAACTACAAACACTTGGATTCACCAACTGGAAAGAGAAAACAAATCAGAGAGATGAATGGAGGTGGTTGATATCTGCAGCAATGAACCTCAAGGGCTTCAAATGCTGAAGAAGGAGAACAATAAACTCATAAGGTAACTACTTGCAGACAGGCAACAGATTCATTCATTCAGTAGCATGTCCCTCGCGGAACCTCGCTGCCATAACAACCCTCCGGAAAACCTTCCTATCCTGAGCAAGATGTCCTGCGTCTGATACACCCATCTGGAGATCATCTGCCACATCCTGCACCCATCTTCTCCTTAACCTTCCTCTTTCTCTCTTCCCAGGCATATCATTCATTCATTCAGTAGCATGTCCCTCGCGGAACCTCGCTGCCATATCAACCCTCCGGAAAACCTTCCTATCCTGAGCAAGATGTCCTGCGTCTGATACACCCATCTGGAGATCATCTGCCACATCCTGCACCCATCTTCTCCTTGGCCTTCCTCTTCCTCTCTTCCCAGGCATATACCCCTCCATTATGTTCTCTTCTAGACTTCCATGACGTTTCAAGTGACCAAAATATTTCAAGTTTTTATTGTCTTTACTAGCCAACCCTCTTCAATATTCAGCTCTTGAAGTATGGATGCATTTGTTCTTTTCTTTACCCAAGATATTCTTAGAACCTGTCTGTAACATTTATATTCAAATGGCGCTGTTCCGCTTGTTTAGTAAGTGTCCAGGTCTCACAGGCGTATGTTGCAATGGGAAAGATGCATGCTCTTAAAAATCTGACCTTTGTAACAGATTACTCAAATGAAAAATAAATATTTGGAATTTGGAATCAAAGAAATCAACAAATTAGACAGGTAAATGGGGAATCAATGTAAATGTGTACAAAAGATACCTACAAAATCAGTGACAGTAGCTATATATCAGTCAACGAAAAAGAGAAAATCAACTTCAACAAAACAACACAAATATTATAGCAAATACTATACTGCCTACAATACCTCTGACAAAAGACCTGCAGCACACTGATTGTCCAAGGTCTTGAAATGAGCAATTACACCATCTGTGGGTGGACAACAGAATCATTTGGAATTATTCCTATTTGAAGCAGAAAAAATTTGCTAACTTGGTGAAGCTCACTTTCTTACCAGTTTAATGTTGTGAAAAAGAGAGAGGATATAATTCACTGAGCTGTTTGTATCACTTAAGCTCTACTTCTTTGTAGAGCAGCTGGCAACTCACCAAGGAAAGAAGACACAAAACAAGAGGAATAAGACAAAGGAAAAAAAAATGGAAAAAGACACTTAAAATTCACTGACTGTAAATTCTGGCAGAAAGTTCTTGTTGTTTGTCAACTTTTCGACTTCGGTCGTGTTTCAGACCTTGAGTTTTATATGCACATCTGATGAACGCAGAAGAAGAAGAAGAAGAATATGCACGTCTGTTTTACAGATCTGGCTTATTTGTTTGAAGACTGCTGGGTCATTAACTCTCAGGCAGATGCTTTCTGACTTCGAAAGAAACACCACTAAAGAAACATGATGAAAAAGAAAGACAATGACAAGGAAGATAAAATAGAAAAAGAGTAAAGAGCCAAGCAGAGTCAGATGACCCAGAAAAAGAGGTAAAAAATATACAGAACAAAAAAGGAAGAAGGCACAGAACATGAGGAAGAAGACAACATGAGGAAGAAGACTAAGAAACAAAAGGAAAAAGAAAACAATGGAGAACATGAGGAAGAAGACAACATGAGGAAGAAGACTAAGAAACAAAAGGAAAAAGAAAACATAAGGAAAGAGACACAGAACACTGGGAAATGGAGAACATGAGGAAGAAGACACAGAACACGGAGAAAAAGAGAACATGAGGAAGAAGACACAGAACATGGGGGAAAAGAGAACATGAGGAAGAAGACAGCATGAGGAAGACTAAGAAACAAGAGGAAAAAGAAAACATAAGGAAGAAGACACAGAACACGGGGAAAAAGAGAACATGAGGAAGAAGACACAGAACACGGGGAAAGAGAGAACATGAGGAAGAAGACACAGAACACGGGGAAAAAGAGAACATGAGGAAGAAGACACAGAACACGGGGAAAAAAGAGAACATGAGGAAGAAGACACAGAACACGGAGAAAAAGAGAACATGAGGAAGAAGACACAGAACATGGGGGAAAAGAGAACACGAGGAAGAAGACACAGAACACGGGGAAAAAGAGAACATGAGGAAGAAAACACAGAACACGGGGAAAAAGAGAACATGAGGAAGACGACACAGAACATGGGGGAAAAAGAGAACATGAGGAAGAGACACAGAACATGGGGGAAAAAGAGAACATGAGGAGGAAGACACAGAACATGGGGAAAAAGAGAACATGAGGAAGAAGACACAGAACATGGGAAAAAGAGTACATGAGGAAGAAGACATAGAATAAGAGGAAGACAAAACAAAAGAAGAGGAAGACAAAATGAGAAAGAAGACAATGTGTGGAAGAAGACAATGTGTGGAAGAAGACAACGTAAGGACAAAGACAAAAGGAGAAGAAAACAAATGTGAGGAAGAAGACAACATAAAGGAAGAAGACAACATGAGGAAGAAAACAACAAGAGTAAAAAGACAATATAAGGATAGAATGACACAGAACAAATTGAAGAAGACAACATAAGAAAGAAGACACAGAACAAGAGAAAGAAGACAAATGAGGAAGAAGACACAGAACAAGAGGGAGAAGACAACATGAGGAACACGACACAGAAAAAATGGAAGAAGTCAACAAGAGGAGGAAGACACAGAACAAGATGAAGATGACACCGAACAAGAGGGAGAAGGCAACAAGAGGAAGAAGACACAGAACAAGATGAAGATGACACCGAACAAGAGGGAGAAGGCAACATGAGGAAGAAGCCACAGAACAAGAGGAATAAGACACAGAACAAGAGGAATAAGACACAGAACAGAACAAAGAAGAAGGCAACATGAGGAAGAAGACACAGAACAAGAGGAATAAGACAGAACAATAGGGAAAATACAACCGAAGTACGAAAACACAGAACAAGAGGGAAAAGTTACAGAACAAGAGGGTGAAGTCACAGAACAAGAGGAAGAAGACAGAGAACAGAAGAAAGAAAACAACATGAGGAGGAAGACACGGAACAAGAGGAAGACGACAGAGAAAAGAAGAAAGAAAACAACATAGGAGGAAGACATAGAACAAGAGGAAGAAGACAAATAACAAAAGAAAGCAGACAGCATGAGGAGGAAGACACAGAAGAAGAGGAAGAAGACACAGAACAAAAGGGAGAATACAACCAAAGTAAGAAGACACAGAACAAGAGGAAGAAGACAGAACAAAAGAAAAAAGAAAACAAGAGGAAGAAGACACAGAACAAGAGGGAGAATACAACCAAAGTAAGAAGACACAGAACAAGAGGGAGAAGTTACAGAACAAGAGGAAGAAGACAGAGAACAGAAGGAAGAAAACACCATGAGGAGGAAGACACAGGTCAAGAGGAAGAAGACACAGGACAAGAGGAAGAAGACAACATGAGGAGGAAGACACAGGACATGAGGAAGAAGACAACATGAGGAGGAAGACACAGGACATGAGGAGGAAGACACAGGACATGAGGAGGAAGATACAGGACATGAGGAGGAAGATACAGGACAAGAGGAAGAAGACACAGAACAAGAGAGAGAAAACAACAAGAGGAAGAAGACAAAGAACAAAAGGGAAAAGTCACAGAACAAGAAGGAGAAGTCACAGAACAGAAGGAAGAAAACAATATAAGGAGGAAAACACAGGACAAGAGGAAGAAGAAACAGAACAGAAGGAAGAAAACAATATGAGGAGGAAGAAACAGGACAAGAGGAAGAAGACACAGAACAAGAGGGAGAAGACAACAAGAGGAAGAAGACAGGGAACAGAAGGAAGAAAACAACATGAGGAGAAAGAAACAGGACAAGAGGAAGAAGACACAGAACAAGAGGGAGAAGACAACAAGAGGAAGAAGACAGAGAACAAGAGGAAGAAGAACGAACGAACGAACGAACAAACTTTATTTTCAAAGGGTTACAAATTAGTCACGTAGGCCTGTCTTACATTCGGCCCTTCCAAACTCCCATCTTTTACACAGCAGTTGTATCTCATCAAAAAAGCATGTTATGTTCACGTAATAATATGCATATTATGAATATCAAGTCAAAAACAAAAGCATGGGTGACAGAGAACAAGAGGAAAAAGACACAGAACAGAAGGAAGAAGACAACATGAGGAGGAAGACACAGGACAAGAAGGAGAAGACAAGAGGAAGAAGACAACATATGGAGGAAGACACAGAACCAGAGGAAGAAGAGACAGAACAAAAGGAAGAAGACAACATGAGGAGGAAGACAAAGGACAAGAGGCAGAAGAGACATAACAAGAGGGAGAGGACAATATAAGGAAGAAGACACAGAACAAAAGAGAGAAGATAACAAGAGAAAAGAAGACATAGAAAAAAAAGAGGAAAAGAAGACAACAAGAGGAAGAAGAAGGAGTGAACGAGCAGATTTCTTTTTAAAAGGTCAGAAGACAGGTCAGAGGAAATAGACAAGAAAAAGGGGGGACAAGTCAAAGAATAAGAGGGAAAAGAACAAAACAGGAAAAAGAAGGCCACAATTTTCCCATCAAAATTGCCCATTTTCACTAAGCTTTCAAATTTATTTCTCTTAATGGCACACCCAAAATAACTTTGACTTTTTACATCTCATTTCTCTGATCAGTACACATAGTTTTCATGTTTCTTTAAGGACCGTCTCATCTGTTTTTCTCTGCTCATAATGTTCACTGAATGTCTTCCAAACAACCACATGTTTACTCATTAATTCATTTTCACTGTCCTGTTGTGCCATTACATGTCACCCAGGGCTCACAGTCTATGCCTCCATTCCGATCTGTCCTGTGCAGTCACCTCAATTTCATAGTAGGAACCCAGTCCAGCAGCTTTGGCTTCTCTCATCAATGTTCCCCTTAGGGTGTTCTCTTGGACATCCTTGTTTTCTCAATCCATCTATTTCTCATTTCAGTGCCTGTGTGGTGACTCTCTGTTGGTCCCTTCTCAGAATGTAACCAATATAGTGCCATCTGCTACTGATACTAGTGGTTGCCCAGACATTTCCCTTATTTTTTCACTCCTCCTGAACCCATCCCATGTTATGTTCATCATTTTCCTCAGGTATTTGTTTAGTGGTTCTTTAAGTTTCACTGGCATATGTTAAAACTAAAATAACAGGAAATCCATAACTTGGTTCTACAAACTATACAATTCAGTGTTCTGTATTCTTCTTCTTCTTCGTGGTCACCAGCTGTAAACTCTGGCGGAAAAAGTTCTGGTTGTTCATCTACTTTCAGACTGCAGTCCTGTTCCAGAATCTGAGTGTTGCGTGTGCATCAGTTTTACAGATCTGACTCATTTGTATGCAGACTGATGGTTTCTTGCCTCTCAGGCAGATGCACTCTGACTTCGAAGGAAGCTCCCAATTAGCCGACTCTTACGACATGCTTTTGGGTAGGCAGTGGTTCTATTCTTGTTTTCCCTATAATAGGGCCTCGGAACCTACACGGGGAAGTGTTCTATATTTTGTTCAACCTTTTAAAAGCTTGTCATTAGCAAATTAACAACAGACCCATTTAAAATGCTAGAAATTACCAAACCTCTTAACTGAAAAATATTAAAGACCCTTTTCACGCCTTCAGGGGTATATAGGGCTAGACCTATATTTTATAGACCAAACAGCACTTGGTGGGTGATGGGGTTAGCATCACGCCGGCTGTCTTTACTTCCCAGGAATGTACCTGGTACACACTCAAGGCTGGGTCAACCTGGCAGCCAGGTCATTTTTTTTAAAGTCCAGCCCTCGTCAGGATTTGAACCCATGACCTTCCCATCCGCAGGCCGGTGTCTAGCCACCAGATCACGGCGGATCCCAACAGAAAAATATACTAGGTACTATTTACACTTACCCTCAACTGCAACATTGTTTCCACTCTCTCGATGATTCAGCAATCTTGTCTCCTGTGCCCCCTCAGCAACATCTGCGAGACCTCCCACAGCTTGCTGATGAATTTCTTTATTCATGATACGGCTTTGAGTAACAGCCGTGCCATCACTGACGGATCTCCGGAGAGCAGCTTTAGTAACTTCATCAATACTGTCTGTACATAAGGCAGCGCGGTTTTCAACAGAGGATGTACTTGAATTAGTAGAGGAAACAAGTGTACCAGCTCCCTTGCCATTTCTGCAGCCATATTTTAGGATGGATAAAAACTTTTCCTGATCTGCTTTTCTGCTCAACAGCTTGTTTTTATTAGTACTATCACTAGCTTGCCTTTTCCAAACAGAATTGTGGAGGTCGTTGAGCACAGAGGGGTTCTGGTCCATACTGTCATGTCCATCTCTGGGCTTGCTTGACTCTGGGACACTTGGAGACAAAATGCCTGACAATGTCAGAGTGATCAAAGGCGTAAATTGCAGGCTCCTTAACGACATGTATTCAGTAAGTGAAGACAGCAGAGTGGATGCTTTGTCTACAGATGAAGGGGAATGCTCTCTGGACCATGTTACAATGGAAACAAGGCACTGGTCTATTTCTGGAGTGAAGAAATTAAGTACACATTAAAATGAGTTGTAATTACATAAACACTAAAGAAGAAAATATATCTGCTAACAAACTATCATAATTTAACACGCTATTGTGTACCAGATTTACTGTAGAATGTTGTTCCCATCACTGCCTGTCTCTTGTGAATTCCCAGCCTTTTACCCTAAGAAGGCTAAATCTAGTCACTTCTGGTTGTGACACAGCCCCAAAAATGCTGATGTGTGGACATTTCTGCAGTGACTTGTTCTTGAAAAGCATAGTAAATGCCACTAATATTATGTGTGAGTGTGTAGTCTTTCACGGAGGCTCGGATTTGAATATATTAACTAAATATAGCATTTAGAGAAGTTTCCTTGTGTCTCCAATAGCTTTCTTAAAAGTCAGGTTATTTTAAATTGTCTTGTAAGCCTCAATGATTGAGGTCACGGCATGAATCGTCTGATATATACTTGTTTTTGGCCCCGGGGATGCTTCCATTTAATTCATTATTCAGTTCTTGTTAAACGATTACTTCCAACATATATATGTAGATAAATTTTAAAAATTTTAAAAATTTTATACAATTTTTTTTAACTAACCTGTGTATATTTTTTTTTTAAATAAAACCCATTTTAAAATAGCATTCTCATGGCAAAAAGGCTTCATTATTTTGAATGCTATGTATCAACCTTCATGCTGGTCAACCTTTGTCTTTTTTTTCCAGAAACCATGCATTCTACTACTGCTTTTTCTTTTTAAATTAATTTTTTCTTGTTATTTCCTAAATGATTAATGCATTTCATCTTCATCTTCTGCATTAGCCATTTAAAAAGTTGGTGGCTTCCTGTGTTGTGGCTCACAGCTAGGCTGTAACACCTGTGCCTTTTGGTCTAACACATCCGATTTCAACAAAACCCTGATTAATCTCTTTTACAACATGTTTGTTAAGGAGCGTCAACAAAATTTATGATCTTCTTTCTTGACATATCAAGGTTATTTTTTTAAAAAGAAATTTCACCTCGTTTAATGTTTTCTTCTCTTTTTACTATACAATATTCACAAAGACAGCACTGGGTGCACTTTAGCCAACCTTCATTACAGAGATAGCCCAGAATTTCTGTTTGTTTCTTCCTTCTGTAATTGTCCAAGACTGAACAGCATAAAACCAGTTAGTTGTGTAACTTGTACATCAGTGGTTCTCAACCTTCCTAATGCGGTAACCCTTTAATACAGTTACCCATGTTGTGGCGACCCTAAACCATACAATTATTTTCGTCGCTACTTCATAACTTCAGTGAATATGTGTTTTCCGATGGTCTTAGGCGACCCCTGTGAAAAAGTCGTTCCACCCACAAAAGGGTCGTGACCCACAAAAGGGTCGTGACCCACAAAAGGGTCGTGACCCACAGGTGGAGAACTGCTGCTTTACAGGATGTTGCAGAACTAACTCTAACATTTTTGTGTTTTTTTTGGCTGTTCATGATTTTACTACACAATTTCATGTTCAGTAGTTTGCCAGTGCTTTCTAAACAGAAAGTTCTCAATACCAGTGTTGAAAATAATGTAAGGCGATCCGCTGCCAAATCACCCACAGTTGGGATTGAACCCGTTACATGAGAAATACATACTGCGTTTGCAACCCCTAAGCCACAGATGCTGACAGCATAGAGCCGGTGAAAAGACTGTGACAAAATATAAAAACTGTAAAAGCATTTCTACAGTTCAAGAATCACAATTATCCAGACCTTCAACAGGCTGGATAAGGTAAAATTCACACGTCTGCATCTTTTCATCCATTTGTAGCAGCCAGCACACTCCATTGTCTTCTTTATGCCAAAATCTGTTTGGATTTCAAACACACAAACTGAGGCAGGTATGGTGAATTTTGCAAACGAAAATAATAGTTCATCTAGATAAAGTTACATCTTTTTGTCCCGCTGCTTCAAATATGAAAAAATAGGTGCTTTATTAATATCCTACCCCAAACAGGGGAAATCCACAGGTCATAGGACAGTCTAAAATTTCAGGGGGGTTGTAGACAGCATGCAGTTGTGGGACCTAGGCTTAACTCTCTCATGGGACGTAGGTGGATTGGGGTTAGGACCTGTTCTAGATGTTGTGGGATTGTTAAAAGCATTAGAAAGCCGGAAAACCCTTTAAAATTTTGGACTGTCCTGTGACGTCATCTGGGGTAGGATATTAATAAAGCACCAAAAAACATTGAGTTACACTGGGCTGGGATAGAAAGGTATGAGGTAATAACTTTATGGGATAGTTTAAGGCTAGAAAAAGTAATAACTATGGGTTCTAGGGCCCAGTGAAGGAGGGTGGGTGTATAAAACTTCTGCCCCTTACCTCTTTCAGTCCCAGGAAACTAAAGTAAAGAAATAACTGTCTGTAATATGAGGTAAAATATTAGAACAGACAACAGATTAAACATTCCATGTCTAAAACAGAATGAAGTAAATTAATAAATGTGTGGAACATGAGTTAAAATATTAGAACAAACAACTGATAAAGTAATAACTGTCTACAATAGAAAGAAGTAAAGTAATAATGTCTGGGATCGGAGGTAAATGTATTAGACAAACAAGAGATAAAGTAATAACTGTCTGGAATATGAGGTAAAATATTAGAATAAACAAGTGATAAAGTAATAACCGCCTATAACATGAGGTAAAAAATGTAAACAAACAACTGATAAAGTAAGCACTGTCTACAGTAAGAAAAAAAAAGTAAAATTATAATTGTCTGGGATAGAAGGTAACATAATAATTAGAACAAATAAGAAATAAAATAATAACTGTTAAGAAGAAAAAAGAGGTAAACGTAATAACACTCTGGAAGAGGAGGTAAAGCAGAAACGTGAGCAAACACGAGTTAAAGTAATAACTGTTGGAAACATAAAGAGGTAAAGTAATAACTGTTAGAAACATTAAGAGATAAAGTAATAACTGTTAGAAACATAAAAAGGTAAAGTAATTACTGTTGAAAACAAAAAGAGGTAAAGTAATAACTGATGGAAACATAAAGAGGTAAAGTAATAACTGTTGGAAACATAAAGAGGTAAAGTAATAACTGTTAGAAACATAAAGAGGTAAAGTAATGATTGTTGGAAACACAAAGAGGAAACGTTATAACTGTTGGAAACACAAAGAGATAAAGTAATTACTGTTGAAAACATAAAGAGGTAAAGTAATGACTGACAGAAACATAAAGAGGTAAAGCAATTACTGTTGGGAACATAAAGAGGTAATGTAATTACTGTTAGAAACATTAAGAGGTAAAGCAATAATTGTTGGAAACACAAAGAGGTAAAGTAATAACTGTTGAGAAACGTAAAGAGGTAAAGTAATTATTGTTGAAAACATAAAGAGGTAAAGTAATAACTGTTGGAAACATATAGAGGTAAAGTAATTACCATTGGAAACATAAAGAGGTAAAGTAATAACTGTTGGAAACAAAAAGAGGTAAAGTAATTACAGTTGGAAACATAAAGAGGTAAAGTAATAACTGTTGGAAACATAAAGAGGTAAAGTAACTACCATTGGAAACATAAAGAGGTAAAGTAATAACTGTTGGAAACAAAAAGAGGTAAAGTAATAACTTTGGGAGATCTACTGCTCCTTAACAAGCCTGTTGTACAAAACGACTAATGAAGGGTTAGTTGAAAACAACAAATAAAGACATGGAACAATAGTTTAATGTATTAAGAAAAAAAAAAATGCCTGGAAACTGATAAACAATAAATGGGATGGATTCAAAAAAGGTGAAGAAATAAGAGAACAATCTGGACAACCATGTGCATCTACAGTTATAAGAGAAAGAAGATGGTGATATTTCAGGCTCATTCCAAGGCCAGCTGAATAGCGAATACAGATTCATGAAAAAGGCATTTAAATGGGAAACAAATGGATTGAAGAAACAAGAACCATCACAAGAAACCATTTTGTAGATAAAAGAGGCAAAGGGTGCTGGACTGGACGGCATCCATGCAGCTGAAGCCACATTCACCGGATAGAACAGAGAAAAAGAATAAAGTATGAGCCCTGGCTGATTTTTAACCACATAAAAGAGGGATGATGCTCTTCCACATCTTGTGGTGGTGCCAAAGCTGACCTGAACATGTCCCAAGAACCGTGATGTCAGTAATGAAAGACAAACCCGGCTCGCTAGCTCAGTTGGTTAAACCTGACTATGTGACGACCGGGTAACAAACTCTTTGTGGTCTGGGTTCACGCTCAGGAGTAGGCAGAAAAGCCATATTTTTCCCAGATAGTACCGAGCCAAAGGGTTGCAGTATCCATAGTACTGAGCCAAAGCATGAATAACTCATAGTTTCTGGATTTTTTTTTTTTAAACAATAAACTACTGACAACATTCAAAGAAAGGACTTTAAGCAGCATAAATCAAATAACAGTACACAAACACACACACCTCTTGTACTCCACAGAAACTGTAGGTACAACATTTTCATCAAACCAGGTATCATGTCTCTGAAAGCCGAATCTAAAGTTTGGGTGACACAGATTCTCCTCCTTTACGCACTGCATCTGCAATAATTATATCGACAATGTAAACAAATTACGCTAAAGGTAAAGGTGGCAGGATCGACTTCAATGCACTGGGTTTTATCCCATATGGCTCAGTCTCTCTCCGCAGAACAGCCAGCTGCCCACCCAGAGTGTCGCACAGAACATGACCGACGACAATCGTAAAAAATTCACTCATGAACTGAATGGCTCCGCCGAGAAACGAACTCATGACATTCAGAGCGCAAGGCAAACGGCTTGACCACTTCACCACAAAGACCCCCTGTAGTCAATTAAGGATGACAAAGCAATGTATTTGCATTGTTAATTTCAAACATAAAGACAAACAATATTTTGCGCAATTTATTACTTACTTACTTAGGTCTATGCGGGCCAGATTTGGCCCGTGGGTTGCCATTTGAATAGCCCTGTTTTAGGTCATGACATATGAGGTGGAGGCGACCAAAATCATTTCTCATCCCCTTTCCTTCCCAGAACATTCTGGAAATTGCATGGTATTTTGTTTATGAGGCTGGATTGACCATAGAGCCATACTGGTCAGAATATCCTGGTACAATCCTACTATTTCTGGGGATTAAAACCTGGATCACTGTCTGGTAGACAAGTACACTAACTGCTATGCCATCACAAAGAGTGTTTAAAATATCTGACAAAAATATTTAACACACAAATGTATTTTAATATAAATTTCAAACAGAAAACTTGTGAAGCAAAACACGAATGTAAACAGAATCGTCTAGGTCAGTGATTCCCAAAACTGTGTGCTGCGGCGCCCGGAGACGCAACCTCTTCACGCAGACGCCGCAAAATATTCGAAGATACACAATTTTTTAATTATTTTTGTTATCTTTTACATACAAATAGTCATACTTATACTTAAGTTAGGGCGCCACGGAAAAAATTTTTAATGAGAAAAAGGTGCAGTGACTAAGAAATGTTTGGGAAACGTTGGTCTAGGTAAAGTAATGCATTTAAACAATATAGATCTAAATATTTAGATTACATGAGCTGGCACAGGCGAGGAGGCAAAGCTAGGCACTTCAGGTGATGCAGGGCTGTGAGCGCTGGCAGCAGATATGACACCAGGTTTCCACTCACACAACAGACTGATGTTCTTTAGAACTTGTAGTAAAGCCTGCAAGATAAATGTTAATGATAACACCACAGGATATATATCTGTAAAGTGTCTATGCCTGTACTCACCACTTATTTTTTATTACAGTAGTGCTGACAAAAATGATACCGTAAGAAAAGTGTCAGGAGGGAAAAAACCTGGATACCATTAGGATAAGTGTTAACGAAATGATAACCCCATGTGATTTTTATAACTGGTCTGGTTCCCATGTTAACCTAGCCAGAAACAGATTTCAGGAAATGTCCTAGGATGTAAAGGAAATTAGTGTGGTGATCAAAGCAAACATCAAACAGGGAATACTGACTGGTTTATAAAAATAGTCTAGGGCCACATATCTGAGGCAACACTGGTGTGGGAGAGGGCCCCCGTTTCATTTTTTAAAAAACTGCACTACAATGCGGTGTCAGTTCTATTAAAAATATATGTGCCAGCTCCGGAAACGAAACAAATGCTCTGACCAGGGTTCTCTAGAGGTTTCCTCAGAGGAGCGGCAGCTGGCCAAACAGATAAGAATGCTGGGCTCTCATGCAGAAAACCCGGTTCAAATCCTTGATGAGGTTATAGGGTTGTTTTCTACGCAGTCCATGACAACTGCACTAGCCATTTGGTGCTAAACTGCACTAGCCATTTGGTGCTAAATCCTCAGGCTCAGAGACCGCCCTCCTCTCTACACCGCAACAGTTGTAAATAAGGCAGTAATGGCAATTTTGTGTGGTTGTGTGGGTCTCCTCACAACAACAGAACTCTTCTGTCATCTTTTTAACACAACATCATCAAAGGGAAAAAAAAAGAAACATATTTTTTTTTAAAATTTCTTTTCTTCTTCTTCGTGTTCACCGGCTGTAAACTCCGGCAGAAAGTTCTGGTTGTTCGTCCATTTCTGGGCTCTAGTCCTGTTCCCCAAAAAAAAGTGTTGCATGCACATCCATTTTACAGTTCTGACTCATGCAGACAATTGGTTCCTTTCAGGCTGATGTACTCCAGCTTCAAAGGAAGCTCCCAAACAGTCAACTCTTACAACATACTTTTGGGCAGGCAGTGGGTCTATTCTTGTTTTCCCCACAATGGGGCCCCAGAACCCACACAGGAAAATACTATCTATTAAAACAGGCTTTTTCTTAGAGTGTATCACATAATTAATGCATTAAAAAGAGACAAATATTTAATCATATAATTACTGGAAACTAGAGATTAAATAATTATCTTTTCAAAATTCCCCTACAATTTTATATCACAAAAAATGAAAGCTAGAGATTTTCAACTTTTCATGTCTCCTTATATTTGCTTTTAAGCTTCTATCACTCCTCTCTATTTTGTCCATGCTTAGCTGATTACATTCACATCACTGTAGTGAAGTTGTCTTGTCTTTCGAGGAACATTCTTCTTCTTATTCTTCTCCCCTTTATCCCCCAATGGAGCACAGGCCCTCAACCAACTACATCAAGTTGTCCTATCCTCTGCCATCAGGTTGCAGATCACCTTATCTTCCACATCTTTTCATCTCAATTGTAAATCTCTTTTCCAAGAATATTTTTTTAAGGAGGGGTCTGCTTTTATTTCTTTGACTCTGTGCTTTCTGAGGAACAAATATGTTATTTTTAGTTTCATAACAGCCATCTGAAGAGAAAAAACATCAAAACAAAATCAAGAGCAACAAACATGTGTCCACAAAGTACCTGGGGTTTTGAATGGACGACACTAAAAACAGCATAAACTTTGATGGACGGTGCGTGTGAGTTATACGGAAAGGTGAGAAAGTTGAACCAAATACGGTGGCCATGTGCGTAGCTGTCTATCTTCCAACCCTTCTGACATGAGATGGGAAATGGCTGAAATGCAAAACAAAGGATACAAATGTTACCCTTCTGATACTCAATCAGTTTAGTGGTAAATGGACAGTACCCATTTGTGCTGCTATAATATATTAATCTTCTTCTTCTTTGCGTTCACTGGCTGTAAACTCTGGTGGAAAGTTCTGGTTGTTCGTCCACTTCTGGACTGCAGTCCTGTTTCAGAACCTGAGTGTTGCGTGTGCAACCGTTTGACAGTTCTGACACATTTGTGCGCAGGCTGTTGGTTCCTTGCCTCTCAGGCAGATGCACTCTGACTTTCAAGGAAGCTCCCAATTAGTCGACTCTTATGACATGCTTTTGGGTAGGCAGTGGGTCTATTCTTGTTTTCTTGTAATAGGGCCCTGGAACCCACATGGTGGGGGGGGGGGGGGGGGGGGGTCCTGAAAGCAATTTCCAACGTTAGAGCTTGGGCTACAGAGAAAGATGGCTAAAAGAAATAAGGCATATACTTGTTTGAAAATGTTATGCTGTAATGCTGTGATATGTAATAAGTATCCCAGCTTTGCTGTAAATGTAAACAAAACAGTTGACACCTTGTTCAGTGTGAACTGATAAGAAGAACAGATAGATAGAACCAGGTTTTTTTTTTAAAAATATTAATGATATGACAACTAGCAAGAAAAAAGAGGAGACAAACAATCTGACTAAAAAAACCTCAACAACATTTGTGTAAGGCTAAGGTTTTATTTATGATGTCAACCACATCACTCAACCACGAGTGCCGACTGGTCTGAAAATATAGGTCTAGCACTAGAGTTAATTAGTTAGTTAATCAACATATTATCTTCAATGCACACTAGACAAGTCCATAAGCGCTCAGATCCCATTTTCAGCATATCCCTTGGTGTGCAGTGACTGATCACCAGTTCTGTGTTGGTTTACTATTCTTCTTTGGCCACCTTTATAGTTTTTAACGTTAAAGGTGTCTAACGCCCGACGAAGAAGAATGCACCTATTTGTGTGGTCACAAAAGTTCTGGACCTGCGGGCTGTTCCCCCCTAATCTCTAGAGGGCTGCAGCCCGTGTCGAACTGGAAGCTCAGTATAAGGTTCTGAGGTTAAGCAGTCATGTGCAGGATGTGCCGATTCCGTGGTTGAACCCAGAACCAAAGCGTCATTTGTCGGCTTTGCATTTATGGAAGCCTCCTTGAATGGGAATGCCCATGATCTGCCCCTGCCTTCCTTCGAGCGCTGACCAATCTACATAAGGGGGTTTTCTAGGAGCAACACCTGTAGATGAAGGGACAAAAAGGGACACCACACAAATGAGGCAACATCTCGAACCACACAAAACAATGGCCACAGTCATCCTAGAGATAGGATTGATGTTTTTCCTCGAAGTCGGAGGACATCTGCCGATGAGGCAGGGAACGAGAACTGCAAACAAATAAGCCAGTAAAACAGATGTGCACGAAAAAACTTAGGCCCTGGTGAAAGCCAAAAGTCCAAATGGACGAACAACCGGGACCTTCAGCCAGAATTCACAGCCAGTGAGCAAGAAAAAAAAAATTTCACTAAAAAACAGACTTAAAAAAATTATATATCAACTGTTTACATATCATAAATGTGCAGTTAGTTTCTTTATGTACTCTACAATAAATTACTACAATCATGAACTCAGATTTCAGAAAATATCTGACACACACTATAATACTAACTAACCTTCACACTTTTGAAGAGTTCAACCATTTCCAAAACACTGAAATTTTTCCTTCGCTGCAAGATAAGAATGCTCAATTCACTGATAATTAAAAAAAAATCAATCACAAACAAACAGAATTGTATTTATTTTTTTGGCCAATATACTCCTAAAACTTCTTTTCTTCCACCTACAGTTTTTAATTTTTTAAAACCCCATAGTTGTTCCATTCTTGTACCAATGAATAACACACAGAATTCCATCACTGTCCCTTTTAGAAAAATCTGAAACAGACTGCAGTGCCCGCAAAGACTTCTGATTTCTTTACAAAAATGTTTACTGAATTTTTTTATAAATTATTTTTAATGTTTCTAATTGTTTTTTAAATATTAATTTTTTTGTTCTGAGAAATACCTAGAATAACAATCTCTCAAGTTGATATAAGGAGCCGGACTTTTTTCAAAAATTAAACTTGACTCCCAGGTCGACCAAACCTTGAGTGGGTACGGGTTGCAGTCCCAGGAAAGTAAAGGCAGCAGCCGGCGTGATGCTGACCACATCACCCATCTTGTGCCGACTTGGTCTATACAAATATAGGTCTAGCTCTATATGCCCTATACGCCTAAAGGTGTGGAAAAGGGACCTTTACTTTACTTTACAAGTTGATATAAAAAGGGTTCTACATGTTTTTTAATCTACCAATAGTAAATTTAATAACCTAGCATGCAATCTGTATAGAGTCTCTATATCCTTCTCATGACGCTGCTGACATGTGAGGCATTCACAAGTGGTCTGCCAGTCTGCTGATTTTTCTGCCCATGGTACCAAATGTCATACTGCATTTTTTCATTTCAATTTCCACTGTCTTTCTCCAGGTCTCCAGATTTCCTAAGGTCGTCCATGTCTCCCCCCCCCCCTGTCTGCCATCCATCAGAAAACTGTCCTTGCTAAAGTATCAACTAAGTATAGCAGTGATTATTTAGACCTCAGCCCAGAAATATTCCCAATGAACACCAGCACTGATAATTAAAGGTAACTTTCATTGTTTTCTTATTATTTTTTTTAATGTTTTACACACCAATAAAAATTCTTTACTTTTGGATGCTACTATGCTCCTCCTAAGGGACAAAAGACAAGAGAAAGACCAGTAACTGATACCCGGAAACAAATATAAAGATTGACCCAGCAATCTCTCACTGAGCTGGCAACAGAAAAAACATACAAACACTAACTACCATAACCTTGACACCATCCGAGCTGGGGTTATGGTGCATCACGTCTTGAGAAATTTCAAAATATTGCAGGGATCAGCCGCAACGAGGCATTACCATCTACACATACTCTAAAAATATTCGGCTGTTGGTAAAGTATTTCACATCTTTAGTTCATGCTGCGTGGCTATGGTAATCATGTCTCTCCACCATCTTCTGTCTCATGTCCTGTCATTCATTTATGATTTAGATAGATCTTCCAATGCCAGACTGTCTAACATCTTCTCTCTAGGTCCTCCTCTTACCTTAAACTTTTCCCTTGTCATGACACACGTCAGTTTCTCCTTTGCACAATGTGCCCAAATAATGCAGGCTGGTTTCATCTGATGTGGGTGAACAGTTCTCTTTTTAAGTCAACTTCTTCTAAGATTTCTTAATTAGGCTTTTTATCTGTCCATGCTGCTCTCATTATTCCTCTATAAAACCCCATCTCTTCGGCTGCCCCATGATTTTTCAATAATCAACTACCAGTCCCTGATTTCCTTGTGTAGGTTCCTGGGCCCCATCTTGGGTAGGAAAAAACAAAAGAATGGGCTCTCTGTTTCCTAAGAAGCATGTTGTAAACATTGACTAATTACGGGTGTTTCCTTGAAAGTCAGAGTGCACCTGGCTGGGAGATAAGGAACCAACAGTCTGCACACACAAATCAGCCAGATCTGTAAAACAGATGTGTAAACAAGACTCAGGTTCTGCTGAAACGAGACTTAACTCCAGAAGTAGATGAACCTCTATAATTTTCAGTCAAAGTTTACAGCCAGTGAATGTGAAGAAGTTCCTAATTACATTCTTATTTAAATACTGACTCTGTAGCCCTTAAGAATTCTCTCATTTAGATTGACAAAGACAGACTGCACAGAATATTATTCACCCTGTGAAATCGTACAGTACCAGAGAATGTAATACATTAATTAAAATCTCCAAGCCAAACAAAGTACCTTACCTTACTAAGCACATATGCATGTCCTGTAATCAAATGAAGGAGTGACAAATATTTCAGTAAGAAGACAACAAGTGCACACAGCAAGGCTGATATCACTGACAACAACAGCAGGTCCATTATTCACAGGCATCTGGTAATACGACTGATCAGAGCTCAAATTACTGCAGATTGAAAAAAATGAAAATCATTAGACATTATATTTTAAGCCCAGGTTATCATAGAGTATTCATTTACATCCTTAATAAAGATTTATTAATCATTAACGAAGGAGAAAATGACAGGTTGTGGGTTGAGTGTAGGAGAAGAAGAACATTAAATGCATGCAAAAGCAACAATCGTCCTGCAATCCCATGTTCTAATTGTGGAGGGCTTTTTTTAATGTGAGAGGGGCTTTCTAGTCACACCCACCATCACCATGGGCTGCGTTTACCATGGCTCTCTGTTTTGTAATTAGTTGCGTATCATTTACAGGGCGTTGCAGAACTAAACCCAACAGCCCGTGGCTGTTGTGTGGTTTTTCTAGGCAAATTTTACGTCCAGTAGTTTGCCATTGCTTTCTGGATGGTCGGCTTTCTTGATACCACTGATGAAACCAACGCAAGGCGCATGACCGCAGCTGGGATCGAATCAGGCATCCCGGCATTACGAAGCGTTCGACTTAGCCACAGAGCCGACTGGCTCTCTACAGCACAGTATAACACTATCAATTGTAAAGATAGAAAGGTGTCAACAATGGTATCATAGGGGATAGTGCACTGCACTGCACACCAGTGACAAAGATTTAAATCCTAACTGAAGTATTTTTTCCCCCAACAGTAATAAAGAGGAATGACCAGCCGCGTTGTTAGAATGCTGAGCTCAAATGTCAGCGGCCCAGGTTTGAATCCTAAAGTTTTCTTCTGGTGTTATCTGCAGGTTAAAAAAGTTATACACACACACACGCACTCACATACACACACAACTACTATCTACAAGTTCACAATGTATAAAATTACCAACTGTCTTTTAGTTCAAAAAGTTACTAAACCCCTAAAATAGATCAAATAAAAGTAATTGAAAAAAATTGGAATGAAAAAAAAAAACAATAATACTGTCAATATCTTCTAACTGGTGCGTGACAAATACTGTGCATTAACTATATTAAAAAATAAAATGTATTTCAATTCCATAAGAGTGGTTAGTTTTCAAACAGCCTGCAGTAGTTACAACATACCCTGCACAATCTACCACAGAATTATTCCTACCTAAGACCTGCACAGTTTACCAGTCTAAACTTATAAAGGTATGATTATATAGCTCTTATCTAGACATTAGCCTTCTTATCTCTGAAAAAAAAAGTTTTTATTTTCAAGACAACAGTCACATTCTGGATTTGAAAACCATGATTCATATTACATAACAATATATGGCCAGGCTTATGTAGGCTCAACAGAAATGATGCGCTTACAACTGACTTCAAAAAGAAGAGAACCAGAGGGGGGCTGAAATATTATGCTCTTCACTTACCGTATTTGTTCCATGCATAAGATGTCCCCATGTATAAGACAACCTCTGTGTTTTGTTCACTCAAAATTGAGAAATACATTTTTTTTTAACACATTCTATGTATAAGACGATGACACAACAACCCCCCCCCCCCCACCCCCCCCCCCCCCCCCCCCACCCCCCCCCCCCCCACCCCCCCCCCCTTGCACACATTCCCCCCCCCCCCCCCCCCCCCCCCCCCCTCCACCCCCCCCCCCCCCCCCCCCATTTCAAACTTAAAAAATGTGGGAAAACATACGTCTTACACGTGAAAAAATATGGTAACTCTTTATCAAATTCACACCATGAAATTGTTTTCTTCTGGGAAGTAAAGGCAGCCATCACAATGCTGACTACATCACCCATGAAGTGCCAATTGGTCTATAAAATGCATATCTTCCACTATAAACCCGATAGGCCCCATTGTGGTGGGGGAAGGGGGGACAGCTGGTGAACACTAAGAAGAAGAAGAGGTTTTGTTCTAGGACTTGAGTGCTGCATTGACATTCATTTACAGACCAGGCTTATGTGTGTGCAGATTGTTGGTTCCTCACCACTCAGGCAGATGAACTCCGACTTCAAAAGAAAAACCCCCTAATTGGTCACCTTTTACAGAATGCTTGTTAAAGGGGTAGTGGGTCTATCCCCCCCCCCCCCCCATCCCAAACAAAAACAGGGTGCCAAGACCCACATCCCTCCAGGAGTTAACAAAGCAGATCAAGAGAGGGAACATGCTGCATGGGCAACACCTGGTCTCCACAATACTGCCCAGGTGCAACTTCATTCCTGGCCTTAACTGCTACTGTGTGTGTTGTCCATCAAGATGATGATGACCACTCTTTTTCATCAAGCATGAATGCAAAGATGACTGATGAGGCCGATGAAAGAGTGACTTGCGCGGTGAGGAAGAGTAACTGCTACTACCACAGCTGTGATTCCTATGCTCTCTTAAGCACAGTGGAACACTTATCTTTTGAAAAGATGAAAAAGTGCCGACCAACTAAATCCTTCAAAATCTTGCATTTATTTTAAAGTAATAACTATCTGGTAAAGGAAGAGGTGAATCAGAATCATTCACTGCTGCTACTGCTGTGTTTTTTCTTTTTCTTCTTAGCATTCACCGGCTGCATACTCTGGCGGAAAGTTCTGATTATTCGTCCGCCTCTGGACTTCGGTCTTGTTCCTTAACTTGAGTTTAGCATCACAAATGTTTTTACAGATCTGGCTTATTTATATGTATGCAGAATGCTGATTCCTTGCCTCTCAGGCAGATTGTACCCGGCTCTGAAGGAAACACCTCTAATTAGTCGCCTCCTAGGACACACTTGTTCTGTGGGTGGTGGAGGTGGGGGGGGGGGGGGGAAATAGTGCCTCTATTCTTTGCTTTCCAAAATGAAATCCAGAAACCCACACAGGGAATTCCCCGCTACTGAACTTTAACTTCTTACAGTCGATGCTATGTGACACTGGTCATCATGTCCGTCTACAGCCGCTGCCCTCACGCTGTCAATCAAATTTAATTCAAATATTCTTCCATAACAAGATGCCATCCCTGTGTGTGTGAGTTAAGGGGCCTCAGTGTAGAGGGCAACAAATAGACACCTCCCGTCCCCTTCACAAGCGTGTTGTAAGAGTCAACTAATTAAGTGTGTTTCCTTTGAAGTCAGACTGCTTTTGCCTAAGAGGTGAGGAACTAACAGTCTGCATACAAATGAGCCAGATATGTAAAACAGATGTGCTTGCAAAATTCAAATTGGAACAAGGCCAAAGGCTAGAAGTGGACAAACAGCCAGAAATTTACTTTTTACCACAGTGAGCAGCTGGTGAACGCAAAGAAAAAGAATAATGATACCAAACTTTCCAACATCTTTTTTCTTGGTTCTCCCCCTGCCTATCCCCTCCTCCAGCTTTCTGAATGTCACAAAATACTCCAGCTTTCCCCAATTTTCGTGACATACCTACAGAATTAGAATTGTTTCGTTCCTTAACACTTAACCCAATTGCAACTCTTCACTGCCGACACATGCATGAATAACCCAAACCCTAATCTAGTAACAAGAAATGTCAAAAATTACACCCAATCCAAAGAATGGCAAACATGCAGCACCCATACATCTCCTCATTGTCAAGCTAAGAAAATAACTGCATGCTCAACTGCTACACCCAACCGTGACACTAGTTTGAAACTTTAACCCAAGTCTGTAATTACAGACAGCAGTATTCAACCCAGCACTGGCTAAATTGTGCAAATTGTGGGGGTGGTGATTTAAACAAAACAACAACAAAAAGTTGCATATACTTTACAGGATTTTGCAAAACCAACCCCAGAATGGTTTGGCTGTTTGTGGTTTCACTCTGTAATTTTACGTTCAGTAGTTTGCCACTGATTTTTTAATGGTTCAAATGTGTGTGATGTGTGTGTGTGTGTAAAATGCCTCCAAAACTTTTTCTTATATGGTGAAAATATGCAACATCTAAAAGATATAAAGGGAATTCACATGAGAGTGTAACACAACATTATAAGATATACAGATGATATGGTGTTTACTGTTACTGCAGACAATGAAAAAGATCTACAGTATTGTAGTGGATCCGATGCAGTAGCAGTTAACAGTGAGAAAGTAGGTTTGGAATTAAATTGTAATGAAAATGGAAATTATGGTCATCACCAAGAATAAACGAATACCAAAGTGTGAAATACATGCAAATGGCACTTTAATAGATACAACTATTTAGGAACAATCATAATATCTGATGCAAGATGCCTTGTAGAACAAGAATCAGCATGGCAAAAGTGGCCTTTAGTAAGATACAAAAGATTCTTACTAACAAAAAGATGTCAATTACAGTGCTATGTGGAACCTGTGTTTATTATATGCATGTGAAATATGGACAATAAGTAAAAAAGCTGAAAAACATTAACTCGCAGTCAAGATGTGGTTTCTGAGAAGAATGCAAAGAATATAATGGAAGGATAGAAAAACAAACAATGCAGTCCTCATCGAAACAGAGGACAGTTGTAAACTGGACATGTTATGGGAAGAAACTGACTCGAGAATTCGGAAACAACTGGCAAGATTGATGGAAAGAGGACAAGAGGAAGGCACACAGAAAAATACCTTGATAGCCTGGCCAAACGAATGGGGCGAGACAAAAACACTGAACTGATTTAAGATTCTGGTGATCATGTAAGATGGCAAAACATAACAGCCTGCGCTTACCTGCATGGCACATGATGATGATGATGAATATGATGATGGTGTGTGTTTAGAGAGAGAGAGACAGACAGACAGACGACATTATACAATTTAAAAACAAGTTACGTATTTTCAATTCTATTTTTAAGTCACTTTTAATATATGCCAGTGAAAGTTGGAGAAACACTAAGGGTATAGAAGGAAAGTTGCATGCCTTCAAAATAAGAAAGGCTCAGGAAAATGATAAACATAAAAAATTGAATGAATTCGAGAGGGGTGAAGAAATATGAGAAATGTCTGGGTAACCACTAGTGCAAACAGTTATGTTATAAGATAGAACAGATTGGGCTATACTGGCACATTCTGAGAACAGATGAATGTTGAATGTTGAATTGA